TACGACCTGAGCCAAAGTCAGACGCTTACCCGTCTGAGCCACCTGGGCGCCCCATCTATTTTTTCTTTCTTTCAGCAAATATTTTATCGAGCACCTACTCTGTGCCCCTACTTGCACTCCACAAGGGGCAGGCGGAAAACAAATGATGGGAGTGGAATATGCCTGCCGTGAGAAGGACCACCCAGGGCGCTAAAGCCAGGAGTAAGGAAAGAAACTGACCTGAGGCAGAGAGAGGTGCTATCTTCTAGAAGGTGGTCCAGAAAGCCTGTCTGCTCAGGGCAGATTTGAGCAGAGCCTAAGCTACACACAGAGCTCCGTCCGTGCTCTCTCCGGACAGGGGGATGTGTTAGCAGAGGGGCCCCAGGCTTAAGTGGCAAGGGCGTAGTTGGAAATGAGGTCCAGGACGAGCCGGGAATCAGGTGGTGGATGGTCTCAGCCACAGGAAGCCTTTGGATCTCAATCTAAATGAAATAAGAAATGAGTGGAGAGACTCGACTGGGCAAATGGCACCGTCTGACCTAGGCTTCTCAGCCTCAGCCCCACGGACATCCTGGGCAGGACCATTCCTCACCGCGGGGGTGGGCTGGCTGGCTGTGCATTGCTGGAGGTGTTGCAGCATCGCTGACCTCTACCCACTAGATACCAGCAGCCACCCCCTCCTCCAGCGTGAGGACTAGAAACGTCTCCAGACACTGCCACGTGTCTCCTGGTGGGCAATATCACCTTCTCTTGAAACCCAGTGTTCAAAGGATCCCACCCACCCGGTGTGATATTTTCGTTACATAAAAACGAACACAGCAAAACTGAATTCCTGTTTTCTGAGATTTGCTAGAACTCTCCCCCTAGATTAAGATTCAACTCAACTGTGTCCACGTTGCATGCTTGTGTTTAACAATCGTATCCCAGTGGAAAGGCCAAGGCTTTATCTTTGAGTCAGATCCCAGGGTGATTCATTTCTCCCGTACCTGTAACAACAGCACCAGGCAGGGGTCACAGAGCAGTCCTGTTTACAGGCTGGGAGAAAACAGCACAGGTATTCAAATTAACTCGTGTGGTGAAGCAGCCAACCAGAGGTGCCACTGAATTGCATAAACCACTGATTACACAACACGCGCAGATACAAAAGTGATTCAGGCATACCTCGAATCGTTATACAGGATTTTACAGCACACACGCCTGTATTTGTTTGCTTAGATTTCCTGAGAGTCTCAGATATTTTGCTGTGACTGTGACCGCCTTTTCTTCACCCTCAAAACCCCAGCGGCCACCGCTTGGAGGCGTGAACAGGCTTCGCGGCTTGGTTTGCTCTGGGTGATTCCTCTTAGAATTCTCCCTAAAAGATGCACTCATATTTGCACAATGATAAGTAAGGCTTCTCCAGGCTTCATGCCGCTGTCCTCTTGATTTTTCGCTGCTGGAGTTCCTTCACTGCCTAAGTGCAGGGTCCAGGCACACTCTCCACGAGGAATGTTGTAACCACTTGTGTACCGAACTGCCCCTTTACAGCAAAATCAAAGTGTTGAGCGTTTCTGTGTTTGACCCTCACTGTAGTTGAATCAGGCATTAACAAGTTGGGGCACAGACGTCTTTGCGTGTTTGGATTTAACTTGGAGCAAAGGCGTTTATGAGCAGAGGCTGACACAGAATTTAGTAAGCCAAGAACCATCCCCGCAATTAATATTAATGAATATTGGATAACGCCAAAGTGGAGACGTCTATATCGATGTTGCAACTCTTTCAGTGGCTGGAATATAATGCTTACCCTACGGTTCTCAGTTCATTACCACCGAGGCACGGTGATCCAATAAAGCCACAGGAAAACAGCTGCCTTATCCTTTCGATCAGCAAATGAAATGATGGAAGACTTTGCATAGAAGGGCCAAGCGGAGGAGTGAATGTGGGTGGATGGCGGAGCCGGCCCGCCCCGGTCTGAACCCGGCTGCAACACCTACTAATTGAGAAAGGTTTGCGTGTGGGTAACCTCCCCAAACCTCAGTGAGCTCATCTCGAAAACGGGCGTGGAAGAGACAGCTGCTCAGAATCAGAAAAAACAGATGTCACCTCTAGCAGAGCGGTGGCCCAGCATAAACCCCCAGGCCATGGTAATTTTTGTCAGAGCAAAGTGAATGATCACCATCAGATTGGCCATGAGTGCTTGCCTTTTACATGAAGAAGGACTTAAATCCTCTTTCCAGTCCAAAGCCATCCTTGGGTAGACATATGCTTTTAAGGTAAAACTATAAAGAAAATTTTAGTAGGTCGTGTAAGGATCCCAGCCTCACGTGTAGGACAAATTTAAAATCAGTCCTTGGCTACAGTTTAACCTGACTGGAAATATTTTTAAAACACTCATAGCAAAATGGGAGGTGTTGACTACAAATACGTGGGTTATTTACGAGCTGGGAATCAGTTATGAGGGAAACTAGCATTGAGCGTTGGTACCAAGAGTGTAAGCAGTATCTTGGAGGGTTGAGTTTTGTCCCGCCAGATGGAAGGGGACTGTCCCGAGTTACCCAGTGAGGGGCTTTCTGGCTCACACCCTTCGTAAGCTCCTTCCTACGGTGGCCTCCCAGGCCCCGGGCCATATGCCTGTCCCCGGTCCCACCTGCCCCTTCCTTTCACATGCCCAACCCATTAGGACCCTACACCCTGGTTCCTGCCTTACGTGTTCATGCGCGTGGGACATCGTCTTTCTCCACAGTCACTTTTTTCCCTCCTTCTCTGAGCCCCAGGGCGACCCCCTAAATATGCTTCCCTGACCAAACTGCCTGACACGGTGACTCTCACCCCCGCTGCCCTTCAGCTTTGTACCCAGCTTGGAGGCTGCCACTTTTAATGATCCGCTCGTTTGTTTACTTCTTGGTTGTCCTACTGGGAGGTGAGCATCATAATCACATCTGGAGCATCCGAAGAGTGTCACCTAGTAGGCATTCAGCAGGCAAGTGAATTAAAGAATGAAAAAAAAGTAGCTTGAAGAGAGGCAGATAAATATGTCTTGAGATGGCTTTAAAATTTTTTTTAACGTTTATTTATTTTTGAGAGACAGAGCTCAAGCAGGGGAGGGGCAGAGAGAGAGAGGGAGACACAGAATCCAAAGCAGGCTCCAGGCTCCGAGCTGTCAGCACAGAGCCCGACGCAGGGCTCGACCTCAGTCCACAAGATCGTGACCTGAGCCGAAGTCAGATACTCAACTGACTGAGCCACCCACACCCTGGAGATGGCTTTAAATCCAAACCAGTTTTACTGACTTTCAGATTTTTTTTAATGGCAAACTACAGTCAACCGAATGAAATAGATACTCATTTAGTGCCAGCCTGTTCGATAACTGCTCATTGTCACGCCCTCACATGGTTCTGACCCCCGGATCTCACGTTCACCACTGTTCTTATGCACACTGGCTGGGCTAAAGCCTTTCTGCCTGGTTCCTGTCAGGAGCTGCAGTGGCTCCCTCGGTCCCTGGAATCTCAACTCCCCTGCACGGTTTTCAAAGCTCTGTCCATTTTGCCTTCATCCAGCATTTGCTACCTAAAAACTCCTTCCCATCTGGGCAGACCTAGCTCCTCTCTGTGCTTTTGGGCCAGACTCCACTTGTAAATGACAGGCCACTGTGGGTGCTCTGACCAGGAGTCCCACTGGTGGGCAGGAAGAGGCGGGGCTGGTGAGGACGGGGTGCTCTAGGTCCGGGGAGTGCATACAGCAAAGCACAGAAACACGGGTCAGTAAGGAGCTCTGGATATGCCTGGATATGCAGCGCCCCTTGAATGTAAGGTCAAGGGCAAGGGGAGATCATGTCTAGAGGGAAGAGTTAAAAAGGGTCATGGCAGGTGCAGCCTGGAGGCACAGCTCTGGACTGCTGGCCTTCTCCCTTTTTCTTTCCTCCCTCCTTCCATCCTTCCTCCCTCCCTCCATCCTTCTCCCTCCTTCCTTTTCTCCCTCCCCCCATCCTTCCTTCTTCCATCCAACCTTCCCCCTTCTTCCCTTCCTCCCTCCCTCCTTTGGGATCACTGGAGATGAACTGTTCTGCCACATGTAAAGTATAATAAAACGAATTATGCTTTTTATCCCTTTAGAATAATTTGTTAGCCTAAAACTTGAGAAAGGCCAACCTAACAGCAGTCACAATCCACTGTGTCCCAGCACACAACGATCAGAAGCAGCATGCTTATTCTGGGGTGAACAAAAATCCCCCAGTACGTTGGAGCTTTTTGAGGTCCCTGGGGAAGCAAGAGCCAATCACGGCTCACTGGCCAGTCCAACAGAGGGGTCCCGATTGGGGGAATGGGAGGTGGCGAGGGCCACACCTGACCCCGTGATGGACAGTTGTGCTTGCTTGACATGCTCTGGTCTATGGCACTTGCTGTGTTTTACTTTATTATTCCTACATAATTAAAAAAAAAAAAATCTTCATTTGGCTCTTTGGCCTAATATGGACAACAGTTTCCATGTTCATAGATCTCCAAGCCCCCGATGGGGGACGGACAGTGAACAATTAGGTAATGTGGTTAGTGTACAGAATCCAGAAGTGGGGTTGTAAAGTTTAATCTTCCTAAATGGATAATAACTAATTTTGTAATGATGCCGAAAATATACTTGTGATTTTTTGCAATCTAGAGGGTTGGCTCAGCTCTGCTTAATTTAATAATTGAGAAAACTTCTGAATTTATTTCCATGCTTCTTTTAGGAAATAGTGCTCTCAAGACACACAGGGCTACAGTGACAGGTTATTAGACTACGACATCAAACTTTGTGTATAGATATGCTTGAAAATAACAAATCATGAAATTCATTATCACCACTTAATATTTCCTATGATGTGTTAGAGTGTTGTGGCAAAATTCGGTGAATATTTTGTAGGCCATAAAGTTAATTAACGGTGATTATGAATTTACCATACAATTAAGGTTTCATTTGGTAAGTTTTATTATTTTCTTCTACTATTTTATTAAATTATTCGGTCCATCTTATCAGTAAAGAATAATCCTTTCCGAAATTTGTTTTAGGTTTTGAGACTAACATGAACCTAACTGGCCGAGATGATCCTGGTAGAGCAGAAATTGTATCCGAGACTCAAGACAGAAATGCAAATAACCATGGAATTCAATTATCTAATTCACTCTCAAGTGCTATCACGGCTGAAAATGGGAATTCTGTCTCAAATGGTAAGTGCTTTTTAAACTCGGAAGTAAATAGATGAAAGTATTAAGCTCTATCAACTTTCTAGGGAGAATGGATTTGAGACATAAAAATGAAGTAGGCTTAAAACCTGGAACATAGATCATAAACTTTACTGTAGGGTGTATTGTAGCATTTTATTGGTTAGGTTAAAGAATTACAGTTGCATTTGGTGTTAGTTGACTTTTCAGAGATTGTTACAGAGTATCTCATATGTGGGAACCAATATAAAATGAGCTTATACAGGACCAAAGGAGGAGATAGGTGCTTTAACAATAGTTTTAATTAAAAAAAAAAAAAAAAAAAAAAAAAAAAAAAAAAAAAAACCATACCTTTTTCTTCTCATCTCTGAATGGTGTGAAGGGAAATAATATTGAAGTCATGGTAAACACCAAACAGGCCTTAAGCATTTAATTGGAGAGTATCAATGAATGCATCATCTAGAACTTGGCTAGACTGTGTGTATCCAAAATAGTGGCTTAGACAAAGCCACTTGGATCTTGGGAAGATTCAGACCAATCTTTTCCTGAGAACATGCAGAAAAGCTGGCCAAAATTTTCTTTGTTGTTTAATCTGATTAAAGGCACTAGGAAACTATTAAGACAGTGAGATCCTGGGAAGACACTGAGGAAGGCGGTATGGAATGTATAGAGGCCAAGCAAGGAGGCTGACATTCTAGGCTTTTCTCTGAGGGACGTCCAGGGCACTTTCCTCGTCCCCAGAAGGCAACTCAGAGGCCGGGAGGGACTTCTGACTGCCTCCAAGGATTGTGGGGAGACTAAGTCCAGGGCCTGCCAAGGCCATGGGCTGGAGCTTTGAAGTGTCCAAAGGTCAGGTGGACCCAACTAGAAGCCACAGCACAGTTATGGATCATTTCAATCCCTGATGTTGGATGGAGGTCCTCCCGGACTGACAGGGCCCACCGGCGCCTGGGAGGCAGAGTGTGTGTGTGTGTGTGTGTGTGTGTGTGTGTGTGTGTCCCAAAGGACAATTACAGCATCTGAGGCTTCAAACTGCTCTAACAGACCATTTTTCAAATAATTCAACACATAGTCAAAAAAAACCAAGCACATGAGGACAGAAAGCAAGATGAAAAATGAACAAGCAGAAATATCCGTCGATTGCCATTACATCCATGGGGTCCCGAAAGATTGGAGTTCAAACGCACATACTTTAAAATAAGTATGTTTACACTCTGCCCAAGGAGATAAAGGAAGGAATCAGCAGAAACAATGGGAAACTATAAAAACGTGTCAAATGGAAATTCTGAAATTGAGAAATAGTCATAAAATTAAGTACAACAGAGGATGGGTTTAAAGTTAATTAGACACAGTCATTTGGGAGAAAGGAAAAAAAAAAAAAAAAACCTGGGGAAGTGGGAGATAAATCAGGGGATATCTGGAATGAAACACAAAGAAGCAAAGAGAAGATTAAGGATTCCAGAAAGTGTTTGGAGACATGGAAGTCTTGGTTGAGAGAGTCATCGGAATTTTAGAGAAAGAGATTATGCAGGCAGCAGAGAAGACTGTGTCCATGTGAATGCCTGTGTGCAAATGATTATTGATAATCACCTACAATGGATATCCTTCCAGGAGCCTGGGGGGGCTCAGTTGGTTAAGTGTCCAACTTCGGCTCAGGTCATGATCTCACGGTCCATGAGATGGAGCCCCGTGTTGGGCTCTGTGCTGACAGCTCAGAGCCTGGATGCTGCTTTGGATTCTGTGTCTCCCCCTCTCTCTGCCCCTCCACCACTTGTGTTCTCTCTCTCTCTCAAGAATAAATCAGCATTAAAAAATACACATATTTAAAATGGATACCTTCAACTGGTGACCGGGTCATGTTCGTTATCTACTCCTGTGTAAAAACTACCGCCTCCCAGAACTCAGAGGCTTAATTCAACAAAAAGCTATGTTTTCATACCTTCTGTGGGTCAGGAATCTGGCTGTGGCTGAGGGGAGTGCCTTTGTTGCAAGGTCCCCTGTGAGGCGGCTGTCAACTGACTGTTGGCCAAAACCCTAGTCATCTTGACGCTTGATGGAAAAGTGGCCCAATTTCAGGATCACTTACATGGCCGCTGGCAGTCCTCACCAGCCCACTCACACGGCCTTCACCATAAGGGTGGCCTCGAACCAGGGCAGCTGGCCATGAGAGAGCAAGAAAGAGCATCTGGGTGGGGGCTGCGGTCCTTACCTAGCCCACCCCTGCAGGCGACGCCCAGCACGTCTGCCACATTCTGTCTGTAGGTCATCCATGCCGGCTACCTGATGGGAGGGGGTTAGATGAGTTGTGAGTGCCTGGTGGTGGGCTCACTGGGGGCCATTGTATAGGCTGCCTGGCACGTGGATAAACAGCCAAAAAAGTTTGGGGGGGGCACTAACCTTACACGCCACGAAACGGGTGCCTCTCAAGCACATTGCGCTAAGTGCAGAAAGAATCCGACATTGCCCAAGGCTGCATGAGTGGCAGGGGATGGTCTGTGTCTAGTTCCGTCCAGGCAGCTGTAGCAAAATACCCAGACCGGGCGGCTCATCAACAGCAGAAGTATTTGCTCACAGTCCCGGATGTCCACGATCACGATCAGCGGGGCCGGTGCGGTCGGTGCCGACGTGGGCCCTCCTCCACCTGGCTGATTGCCAGTCTCCCTGTGTCCTCACAAGATTGGAAGGAATGAGCCAGGGCTCTGGGGTCTCTTTCAGAAGTGCATGAACCCCAGTCGTGAGGGCTCCAGCCTCATGACCTAACATCCTCCGAGAGGCCCTCCCTCCTAAAGCCATCACCTTGAAGGCTGGGATTCCAAAATAAACATTTGGGAGGAGGGGGGACAGACACTCAGACCATAGCAGACTGCAGAGGGCCATGAATTGCTGTTGACAAACAAGAATGTACATGTTCCTCGAAATTTATAGACATCTTTCTGTCTATAACTGTGACTTTTCTTGAAACAAACAAAGCCTGAGTAGAATAAATAAAAACAAAACTGCTCCTAGGCATATCATAGTGAACCACGGGTAACTAAGAGTGAATCTTAAAAGCAGCCAGAAGTTAAAAAAAAGACAAGTTCCAAAGAGCAACAATGGAAGTCCAAAGACACCAAAGTCACGTATGTCATGTGCTCAAATAAAATAATTGCCAAGCTAGAATTAAAAAAAAAAAAAAATTGTTTATTTTTGAGAGAGACAGAGTGCAAGCAGGAGAGGGGTGGGGGGGTGACGCAGAATCCAAAGCAGCTCCAGGGTCCGAGCTGTCAGCACAGAGCCCCACACGGAGCTTGAACCCACGAACCCTGAGATCATGACCTGAGCCAGAGTCGGCTGCTTAATGGACTGAGCCACCCTAGTGTCCCTAGATTTTTATAAGCAATAAAAAACTTCTGTAAGAATGAAAAGGAGCTAAAGATAGTTTTAGAAAAAGGTAAGAACTGGAAGATGAAGGCCAGGCATACCCAAATTCTCAGAGATACAAACAGGAAAAAGAATGAAAAAACCAAGTGAAGTCAAGATGGTAAAACAGCGTTTCTGATTACGCACAGATAATTTCAAATTAAATTACTAGTGTAATTTCAAAGGCCACCACAGAAGGAATAATAGTGGAGTATATAATTTCCAAACTAATAGAGAGGGTAAAACAGATTAATAAAAGCCAGCCCACCCAAAAGTTGTCAAAAAAGAGGTAAACCGGAGATTTCTGGAAAACAGGCCAAATAGAAAGGTCGTAGATGGTAGACACAAAAGCACCTTTGAAAATGACTAAACTCGAAATCCATGAAATTTTAAGAGACCCGTTTAATGTGAATTTCCATTATAGATGAGTTGATTGGGGTGCCTGGGTGGCTCAGTCGGTTAAACATCTGACTTCGGCTCAGGTCATGATCTACCAGTTCATGGGTTTGAGCCCCATGTCAGGCTCTGTGCTGACAGCTCAGAGCCTGGAGCCTGCTTCGGATTCTGTCTCCCTCTCTTTCTGCCCCTGCCCCACTCATGCTCTGTCTCTTAAAAATAAATAAACATTAAATATTAAAAAAAAACATGCTATACTTTTTTTTTTTTTTTTAATTTTTTTTTCAACGTTTATTCATTTTTGGGACAGAGAGAGACAGAGCATGAACGGGGGAGGAGCAGAGAGAGAGGGAGACACAGAATCGGAAACAGGCTCCAGGCTCTGAGCCATCAGCCCAGAGCCCGATGCGGGGCTCGAACTCACGGACCGCGAGATCGTGACCTGGCTGAAGTCGGACGCTTAACCGACTGCGCCACCCAGGCGCCCCTCTATACTTTTTTTTAAAAAAGGTGAATTGATTAATACAATATTTTAAAGCCTAAAATTTCTGAAAACCATGTAAAACATGATGCTTAACATTTAAATGTGAGGGGAAGATACAGAATATTGGAACGAATGCCAATGAAAACATAACAGAACGCACAGGATACTGCTAATGTCTTAATCAGTGGAAATGTACGTCTGTAAACCCATACATTACAAAAGAAGAAAGGCCAAAAATTGGGGTTTTTAAATGTCAACAAGTTTGAAACAGAACCATAAATTAAACACCAAGCAAGTAGGAGGAAAGATGTGACAAAGGTAAGAACTGTGTCACTGAAATTTATAACAAATAGGTAACAAATAACAAACCCAAAAGTTTTCAAACAAAAACAATCTTTGCAGCATGAATAAAATTGCCAAGTTTCCTGCAAGGGTGACAGGGAAATAAAGAAGGGGACCCAGAAGGCCAACTCTGGGGACAAAGAGACCTGCCACAGATCTTACAGAAATGAAAAATAACACTGAGTATTGTACAGTTTGTGCCAAGACAGTTTTGCCAATTTACTTATTTATTTTTAATTTGTGGATTTAGATGAGGAGACACATTAAAAAACAAATACAACTAACCAAAATGGACACAAAAAAAATAAAAAAGGCTAAACGGTAACGTAAATATTAAATTAATTGAATTTGTAATTGAACACTTTTCTATGAGGAAAACACTAGG